GACAGGAAAAATTTTCTAAGGATAAAAACAACGAAAATAGTTGTATCAAACGATTGGTAGATACATTTATATAATGATTATAGTTATTGGTTGATTACGTTACCCATTCATTTCTTCACTTGAATTCCTGTCTTTGTCGGCTAAAATTTAACAAAGACGCCTTTGTCGTAAGGATTATAGAAAAAAGATTTCAATTAGTTATTATTCAATGGTCTGCTGGAGAGTCAAAAAAAACAATCACGTACAGCTTTCATACACAGTCGCAGCAATACTCTTTATACTAGATATAATGATGGTATCATCAACTCATCAGAATTACTTACTGGTTTATCATTAGTTGTTGGAGCAAAAAAGAAACAAATAGAAACCCAATCTATGGCTGAAGATAAGTTATCATCGATCATCATTCCCCATTTTTAAACAAAAAATATCTTTTAATCTTTTTACACGCACAGAACTAAAATAAAAAAATTTTAACATTATCAGTCGAAAATTTTAACATTATTAGTCGAAAATTTTACCTTTCGACATTTTCATCTTTTGACATTTTCGGTGCATTTTCTTTCGACATTTTTACTTTCGACGAAAGTAGGGTTCAGCAAAAAAGATCGTAGAATACTAAACCCTAGTACTAAAAAAAAGCTTTCATAAACCATTAAAGGGTTTATGTTTTTGTCCGAAACTCTAAAACCGTTTATTGCCTGAAGCGTTTATAAAACTGACGGTATTTGAAAATAAAAAGGGTTTATTGCACCTGAATTTAAGGAGACGGGTTTGTGAATCTACGGCGAAGTGTTTATTATTATACTCTTGCAATGAAGGGTTTCTTATTCTACGGCGAAGGGTTTATTGTTCGTTCCTTGTATTCAAAGGGTTTCTTATTCTACGGTGAAGCGTTTATTGTTAGATGCGTATATTCAAAGGGTTTATTATTCCACGGTGAAGGATTTATTATTGTACTCTTTCATAAAATAGTTTTTTCCGCTAAAAATTGAAATCAGACACGTCACACATATATCAAAATGATGTTGAGTTTTCTGGTTGATGGCACTTATTCATCAAGTATTTTTGTGATTAGATAGGAAGTCGTACAATAGAAGCAAAGATTAATGAAAAACAGGCTCAATAACTTTTGCTCAATCTATGTTGCAATAGCTTGTAATCGCACATTAAAATATATTATTCTCCATTAATTAGATCAGCCTGAAAAACAAAATGAAACTTTGTTTGATGCAGGTGACGCTTCTATAAAAAAATACGTCAGTATTTATTCATAAATCTTCAAGAATTTCACCAGTAAGTTAAAACATTGTATGCGATTAATAGGGATGCACCAATTCCAACCAATCCCAAGTCAAGAGTTGGAATTGGAATTGGTGCATCCCTAGCATTTTTTTTTTGAATCAACCGCTTTTGATTCAGCTTCTTCCAATCGATCCGATCAAATCGTAGGTAAATATAATTGGCTTTATTAAAATTATTGTTCTTAATCTTTTAGTTTAATTTCACATTGAAAATTCTAGGTAAGTAAAATCTTTGTATTTTAATTATTGTTTTATCCTTTTAGTTCTATTTGAAATTGAAAATCGTAAGTAGGTATAATTTTTTTCTTAGAATTATTGCTTTTAATGTTTTAGTTAAATATCGAAGTGAAAATTCTAGTCAAGTATAATTTTTGTATTTGAATCATTCTTTTTTTTCTTCTTTTAGTCAATTTCAAATTCAAAATCGAACGTAAGTATAATTTTTCATTGAACAATTCTTATTTATGTTTTTTTAGTTCAAAATTCGTAATCGCGATTGCAAGTGAGTATAATTTTCATTAAACAATTATTATTTTTATTCTTTTAGTGAAAAATTGAATTCAAAATCTAATGGAAGTATCATTTTCCTTTCAATAATTCTTAGTTTTATTCTTTTAGTTGAGAAATGAACTTCGGATCGAACGTAAGTATAATTTTTAAATGTAATTATTATATTTTTATTCTTTTAGTGCAAAAACAATTTCAAAATCAAACGTAAGTAAGGTGCCGCTAAAGCAGAATTGGAGTAAATTTTGTTTCTCGTTTATTTATATATGGTTTGATAGAGCTTGAAAAGCTGATCAAGAATATATACTTTTTATTTCGATTTAGCTGCTGTCTCGCTGAAAAAATCTTAAGAAATGAGAACATCTGAGAAAAACATATTTTTATGCTAAATTTTAATTTTTTACAAGAACTACCAAATTTCTTTTTCAGTTATTTTCTGAGCATTTTTAAAGTACTATATTCTGAATCAGCATGAAAAACTGAGTAGGAAAATGTTATTTGATTAGACTTAGATATAATAAAGAAAACAATTTCTTATCTCATATAAATAGCTCCATCAGTCGAAAAGTATGTTTCAGTGAGCGTTCTTGTAAAGCTATCTAGTTTTTTGTAAGAAGTGATAGAAATAATTATCTCATCTTATTGGAATCGCCAAATCATGGGCTACAAAAGTTATTATTTTGTTTTTTCAAATTTTTATTTTTTTGTTTAGAAATTTGAATTGTTTCCATGTTGGGTGATAGTATGTTGCAAAAAGACGAAAAATGTGCATTTATTGGCCAGTTTTCATAACAAGAACTAAGGCAAAAGGCAAAACCAATAGCATATTCGAAGTCAGCGTTAAAATTTACATCGACTCATATGTGTTTGGTACAAAAATATTTCTGACGGGAAAAAGCCTGTGGTCCCCCTCAGGTATAATTTCCTAAAAATTTTCTCCTAGTCCCCCACAGATGAATTTTTCTCAGAAAATAAAATTCAGTTAAATATATATGAATCGATGTAAATTTTAACGCTGACTTCGAATATGCTANAATTTCTCATCAACGGTGCGGAATAAAAATAAATCATATGTAGCTTTTCTCCCTGTCATATCCTGAATAAAATGAAGT